GTTGGCTAAAAATAAATTCAATCAATACAGCTAGATTTTTCTTTCTTTTTCTTTTAAAAAATCATAAACAATTTATTAAATCTATATACATGAGCATATATTCCAAATGGTGTGCTCTGCTAAGTGCCCAAAGAAGAGCTTCTGTACATAACAATTCATAAATATTGCATGGTAGGAATTTTCAATTTTGACCACAGTGAATTGACCCAAGTCAAGGGGGGGGGGGGAGGAGTTAGTATCGCCCCAAGTGGAAATAACACAAAGATATGAAAAGTTATCTTATGTGAGATTTAATTAAATTAATTCTGGAAGAACTACAGTACTGTATATGGAGTCTAGGCAGTTTGCAGGGAAGTTCTTAATATATGTTTTTAAACATAGTAATTTAAAAGGTCAAAACTTGATCAGACTCAGGGAATGGGGATCCACTTTCATCAAAGTAAAACCAGACTTCTGGCAGAGCACATTGACTTTTCTGGATGGCATTTTTTGAACTACAGGTTGAAAGAAAGCCAAGAAGTGCTGAAGAAGAATGAGTGTAAGAAGAAGAGATCTGCCTAGGATGTTAGTAGCAATAATTCAAGATACTGGTGATAGAAAATAAATTTTGCCTGGGTTGTGTTTTAACACTAAATAGCACATTATAGCCTTGGATCAGTGTACTCCAATTCCTTATGCATGTTGAAAATATTAAATATATGGTTATACCAACTGGGATTTCATAGATAGGTCCTACAAAGTGAAGAAGTAGTCTAAAGAATAAACGTGAGACAGAATGTTGTCTACGTAATTTCCAGACAACCTGCTTATTGACCATTCATCATGGTGAGTTTGTACACAATTTGTGGGCAGGTTAGATAATCTAGGAATGCTATTTATTGAGCATTCATTCTGATTCATCTGTGGGAAGGCTAAAAGACATCACATCAAGCACATGTTATCTCACTTCCCAGTGCATCTTCCCCATCACTTTCCTTATTGCAAACAACAACAACAACAACAATGTTTTTGGGGATAGTGGTAGTGGATTTGTTGTGCAAGAGCTCCAAATCAGCTTTTATTGTGCATCTGGAATTGGCTGGTATGTGGCTAAATTTCCCCCTGAAAACAGCAGCAGGTTGGAAGCCCCCCTAACCTTCCCCTTCAGAACCTGTAAGCTATGTTCATCCTTCAGTCTTTTATTAAGTAGAATATTTGTGTCTTTGCATTGGAGTGTCTCCTGCTGACACCTTCTCCAGATATATCTGGTTCTGCTCTTTAGGGATATACTGGAATATAGCTTAAACTCTGGATCTTTCCATATCACATTTTTGTTTGCAAAGAAGGACATCTGTTTGCCATTTGTTCTGCACCATCTGCACAGTGCTCAGGGTTCTGCATCTTTTGCAGGAATATCACTTTTAGTGGTCTCAAAACATGAGATTTTGTCACTGAGAAAATGCGATCTCATGCTATATTTCTGAATGACATTTATTGCATGTTTCAGGAATTAAATGCTTCCATCTTTCCCCAATAAAGTTTCCATGTTGAAATTTTGCACAAACCACACGGAGGACACAAAATATGGCTTCTAGGTTTGGCAAAAAATTAATTGGGCCATAAACGTCAGATTTGTTTATTATATCTGTATGTTTTGCCTAAAGAAAAACCAATATATAAATCATTTCCCACAGGATAGTTTCTATAAACCAGAGTTGCTTGAAATAACACTGGTGCTACAAAGGTTAAGGATAGTATTATTTTTAAACCAAAAGGTAAAGCATAGGTTCTTGTGTTTGACTTTCCAAATCCCCTGTAAATCCATGATTGGTCTGTTTTCCAAGCCCTTTCCTCTGGACAATCTGTGTATAAGGAGAGGTATAAAATTACTTTCCATATAACTTCACTCTCAGAACTAGGTTGCCTAATAATTGTGCAATCCTGGATCACTTCAACCTGATAGCCACAAGCATAAGTGCTTTGATTTCAAAATACGTCTCCACTATTCTTTCCAGAAAGACACGGAACGGGTTGATCCACAAATTAGTGAAGATGGGTAATTACATTTAAAAGCCATTTAATCCCACTCTGTCTTCTGAACAGACTGTACCTATTAATTTAAGAGAGAGATCTGGATCAGCACTATGTATGGTTATTACGTCCAGGTGTTATATGGCAGGCATCAAAATGCAACAAGAGCCTGCAATTCTAAACACACTTACTAGTAGGACTTACTTCTGAGCAAACATAGGATGCACTGAAAATTTAGGCTGGATCTAAAAGAGGATGATGTCCATGGTGTGACCAATCAGCTCGACAAAAAGCTAAAGGTTCTGCATAATAACAACAACAGTACACAGAGATTCCCTGTCTCAAACATGGAAAGCCACTGCCGGTCAGTATAGACAGTTTTGAGCTAGATGGATCAATGGCCTGACTCTGCATAAGGCAGCTTCTTATGTTCCATTTGATCCAACTATATGGGCTTATCCACACTTCCTCGTCCCGCTGATTTTCCCTGGGGGGAACTGCTTCAGGGTCCTCCCCCATTGCCATTTGTTCCGATCTATCACTATAGAGTACTTTTTCCCTTGGAAAGGTGCAGGGCATGGGGGAAATGATTTGGACTAGCGGAAAACTGCTTGGGCCCATGCTTTCTAGGCACAAGTGGAAATGTGGGCAAGCCCTATGTGGGAAAAGTCCAGTTTCAAATACGGAATACAGTGGTACCTCTGGTTACAAACTTAATTTGTTCTGGAGGTCTGTTCTTAACCTGAAACCGTTCTTAACCTGAGGTACCACTTTAGCTAATGGGGCCTCCCGTTGCCACTGCGCTACCACTGCATGATTTCTGTTCTCATCCTGAGGTAAAGTTCTTAACCCGAGATACTACTTCAGGGTTAGCGGAGTCTGTAACCCGAAGTGTTTGTAACCCGAGGTGTTTGTAACCCAAGGTACCACTGTACACAGGAGCCCTTTCCAGGTGTTCCAAGGATGTGTGAAGCCTTCATAAAGTATGGAGGGGACACATGAGGGAGCACACTGGCCCTGCACCCAATGACCTCTTCCACTTGCCCCAACTTTCCCCCAAACAGCAAGGTTCCTGTTTAATTAGATCTATAACCAAAGACAATATTACCAGAGCACAGTAACAACAATGCCCTATCACACATTTAAACAATCCTCAGGTTGGAGTATGGGCATTCTAATGACAGCTAAGAACATAACTATGATTGCAGAAGGTAAGTTATGTTTTCTAAGCTCATCTGATGCCTTCTTTGGATTCTTTATGATGCCAGGCAAAGTCAAGACCTTTCTTCCCCCCGCCCCATCATAGGAACCCTTTTCTTTTAACAGATTTTAAGGTTCTGGTTTTAAAGAGCCAGCTGTGCTTGCTTTTATTGATTTTCTTTCTGTTGTGGTGTGTGCTATTTTGTAGCTGTATTTGCATTTCATTTTAATAATTTTTATGGATTGCTACCCAGAGTAATTTGATTATTGGACAGTATAGAAACACAGTTAATAAATGCAGTAAAATGAATAGTATAATTAGAAGGGATCAATAGATCACACACGCTTTGTGAAGATGTAGCTCTGACAAGGGGCTTAAAATTATTTAAATAAATAAATCCAACATATTTCCTAAAACAGCATTGTTGCTGGCACATACCTCTTTATGCATTCATTGGAAATTTCCATGGAAGTTACTTTTCTTTGTAATTCGTTCCTCTGATGACTTGCTCCCACAATCTGGAAAGTTTTCCTAATTTTAAAAATGATTTTACCTTCTGTAGACAAAAGCCATTTTTCTTTTCCTACTGAGGGTGAGCTCTAGTTTTTCCTGAGTGTATGCAACTTAAACTATTGGAAATTTCTACAGATTGCTACAGATAAGAAGAGGTTTGGTTCATGGTAGTGCACAGATATACATAAAATCAAAGTAAATGGAAGCTGTATATGTATTTGATGAAAGTGATAAAAATGTTTCCCTCTTGAGTTGTCAAGTTCACAAATGCACGCATAGATTCCTCATATGGCTACACTTTAATAACCATCCCTTTTTCCTATTCCACATGGCTCTAATAAATAACTCATTCTCAAATAATATATTATCCTCATAAAAAGGAGAGCTTTTTAACGTAAACGCAACCCCTTTGCTTTCAGACTTCTGCTTCGTGGTTAATCATTTGTCCAGCATTCATTTTTCATGGCTGTGCTCTCAACAATAAACCTGCAAGGAAATAAACAGAATAATTAATATGATATCTGAAAATAAGCACGACTTTAAGAGAGTTCACTGGCAACAGCTGAAGACAGCTTGCTCTGCATTTTTTTATTTTTTTTTTACATCTAAAGACTATTTCTTCAAACAAAGTTGTTCACATGGTCAAACAAAATGAATGATGAATGGGACTGGGGTGTGAGGCTCATATGTCAGCTCTTTTGTGTAAATAGTAAACAGCTGCACCAAACGTCTTGTTCCTTGAAGGGCAATAATTGCTAGCTCAAGGTTAAGATCCCTGAAAAAGACCATTTCGGTTACCTCAGGACTGTGAAATCCCATTCTCTGGGTGTCTACTAACACATAGAGTCATGTGTTAAGTTATGTGATACTGACAAAGTGGGCCTTAGAGCCCATCTAGGAACTGTCATTAATAAAGCTGGATCTTTAGCAGGAAGCTGAATCCAATAATGGCTTTGACTAACATGGCATTCTCCAGTTTGATCAACATGTGCTCCATCTTGCTGCCTGCAGTTGTCTTCTTTGACAAAGGTTGCTTCTGAGATCACATCCATGCTTTTACAACCATGTAGGAAAGCTGTAGGAAATAGCTTGTAATGTGGGAGCAGTCAGAGGTACTTATTCAGTAGGGTGAACTGTGCAGAAAGTTTAAGGACATAAGAGCATACCAGGGCCATGCCAGGGAGATACCATGCCAGGTCCATCAAGTTCAGTATTGTCTACATGCAATGATGGTATCTCTCCAGAGTTTCAGACATGGGTCTCTCCCACACCTACCTGGAGATGCCAGGGATTGAACCTGGAACCTTCTGCATGCAATGCAGGTATACTACCACTTACTTACTGCCCTTCCCCAGTGGTGGATTGGAAGTACTACAGATCAAGAGCACCTCGGTCATGGGGCTTTCCCCAAAGAATCATGGGAATGAAAGTTTGGTGAGAATGCTGATTCTCTGACAGAGATCTCTAACAGAGATCTCCAGCTCCCTTTGCAGAGCTACTGCAGCTCCTTGCACAACCTGGAGAAAGACTGTGACTATTTAACCAGCCTCCAGTTAATATAAATATCAGTGAAATTTTGAAATTACGGGCTGTAAGGAAATGCATACATACCATTGAGCAGATGGTTGAATCTGTCTGCCTGGCCCGCCGAAGGCTCCCAGTGAATCCACAGGGGACGTGATCTTGTTTATTGCACTTATCTAGCTGTGTTTTAAATGTAATGGAACTTCTGGCAACTGAGAATTAGGAGGCTCAGAGAAGTCTATGCAAATAAGCTGTCAAAGTAGGCTCAAACTATGTGTATTTGTTGAAACACGTCCCATTATTTTTAAGCTTGGGCATAATCAAGATCTGTATCTGAATGAAAACTTTTGGGGAAGATGATAGGATCTTGGCAGAAAGGCAGCTGTCACTGTGGATTGCTTGCAGGGCTTTGGTTGTACCGATTATTCTATTTCGGTGCTGTGCAAATTGGATGCATCTTCCCACAGCCCCGGGATCAGATGGGAGACATATGACATAAAAAGAAATGCCTACAGAACTGACATTACAGGGGTGTGTCTCATAGGAGCACAATGAACTCATTGGGATCACTGCAATGAGCTGCATGTTGGGCTGCTTTTAAAAATTGCCCAGAAACTTCAGCTGGTCCAGTAGAGGACAGCAAGATTATTAATGGGGGATTGCATGATTTGAATGGATGACACCAGTGTTTTATTCTCTGTAGTGACTCCCAGTTAGGGATGGGGGAGGAATTTGGTTCAGCCCACATTTTATAGCAAACTTACACAATTCACAATTTCTGAGATACTAGGTGAACTGAGATGCACATATCCTTCACAATTTGCACTTCTCTGAATTTTGCGGTGTACTTTTCCAACCTCAAAATGTGTATATTAGGGGTGAGTTCCTATTGCTCTGTCCCAGCTCCTGCCAACTTAGCAGTTCGAAAGCATACCAGTGCAAGTAGATAAATAGGTATGGCTGTGGTGGGAAGGTAAACGGTGTTTCCAGGCGCTCTGGTTTCCATCATGGTGTTCCGTTGCACCAGAAGCGGTTTACTCATGCTGGCCACATGACCCAGAAAACTGTCTGTGGACGAACGCTGGCTCCCTTGGCCTGAAAACAAGATGAGCGCCGCAATCCCGTAGTTGCCTTTGACTGGACTTAACTGTCCAGGGGTCCTTTACCTTTACCTTTTTACTTACATTAGGTGAAATAAAATTGCACTTAAATGTGAAAATGACATTAAAATGCACTGTATTAGGATAATTCCTTGCTACCACTTATGCATTGGGTAAAATTGAATACAAAAGTGTTTATATTAGGAGAAATGCACACAAAAATGCTAATTTCCTCTCCTTAAGGACTTAAAAATATACAAATTCACAAACTAATGCTGAAAGATGGCAAACTGCACTTGAGATTGGAAAAAAAATGATACTGACAGATTCTTCCATTCCTACTCCCTGTCCATTTCCAGACCTAATCAGAGCCTTTAATTAATTGGAATCAAGGATCCAGAGTGAGGTGAATGCCTCAGACAAGTGATTTTGGGTGTCATGAAAGGGCTGCAAATTACTATTTAATCTATTTCTGTAGCGTGTTTACTCCCACACAGAGACTCTTGCAGGATTTTCTGTTTTATGTGCCAAGAATAATTTGGCTAGGTTTGGGTATTATGACTTTGACTGGGGTTTTTCCTGTATTTCTGCTTCAGGCAGCAAAATCTCTTGGGCTGGCCCTGGGCCCACTAGAACAGTGAATCTGGCCCACTGATTTGCTATTGCTTGGATAACTCATGATGAAGCTGTTATCTCTGTGTTGCCCTTGCATTGTTTCCAGACACAGAAGGAGGCGATCAGGCACGGGAGAGATGGAGAGCAGCTATGAGAATAGACAGTGGTACCTGAAAGCATACCTTGTCAAAAATCTTCCTTTTTTGTGCTTTTGCATGAAACAGGAATCAAGAGTGAGATGTGTTTCCAGTTTGCCTGCTTCTTTTGCAACAGGTGAAAAGAGGAGGTGCTGTAGGAAGATGTGTTTGGACACATTTGTGCTGGAAATTCCAGTGGTTGACTTCCAAACACTTGCATCAGTGGAAGAGCTTTTTAAAAAGATACTTGTGTGATCTCTTATGATATGGATAAATATTAACTTACCCAGCTTTTCCATAACTTGTACAGTGGTACCTCGGGTTAAGTACTTAATTCGTTCTGGAAGTCTATACTTAACCTGAAACTGTTCTTAACCTGAAGCACCACTTTAGCTAATGGGGCCTCCTGCTGCTGCCGTGCCGCTAGAGCACGATTTCTGTTCTTATCCTGAAGCAAAGTTCTTAACCTGAAGCAGTATTTTTGGGTTAGCGGAGGCTGTAACCTGAAGCGTATGTAACCTGAAGCGTATGTAACCCGAGGTACCACTGTATATGCTTATAAGAAGGGGTAGCTAGCTTGCCTTTCCTTCTTACTATGAATACTCAGCTGTCTGCTTATTTTGTCACACTAGTCGTAACTCACAGCTTCTTTTAAATAAGTTACAGTACATCCTATTGTGGGGGAGAAAGGGAAATGCCAAGGCAGAGTTACCACCCCTTGCTAATCCTTGCTGGCTTGCTGTCATGAGGTTTGTAAGTGTGTGTCCTTTAGTGACTAAGGCATCCAGGAGCACCCAGAAATTCAAACTTGCTCCTTCAGGAGGCAATTGACCTGGACTTCAGAACCACCAACCCTTAGCACATTTGTCTTGCCAGGATTCAGGGTCAGTTTGTTCACCCTCATCCAGTCCACCACCCTCCCAGGACTTGGTACAGGGCCTTGTATTTGTCTCCAGTTCACAGTTAGTTCCTTGGTAACTGTGTATTGGAGCAAAATATTTTATCCAAGTAGCAACCTAGAGCAAATGGGGTGATCAAATCCTGTGCTAGCTGCAGCATCCAAGTGACCTTCAACAGTAGCTTGATGTTCAGAATATTGGAACGGTAATCCCCGTTGGAGGTCGCAAACATGGATGGCTCTGCTGCAATCTACATCCAAGAGAAACAGTTGTACGAGCCCAGGCAGATGGGAAATGTGCTTCTCATTCAGCCTTCATAGACTGAGAGAGAGAGAGAGAGAGAGAACATCCGAAACAAATATTGCCTCTTTTGCCTCTTCAGCTGCTGTTGAAGAAGAATGATAGGCAGACTTATAGCTTTCAGGGAACAAGCCCTGCTCAAATTAAGCCATGGGGATTTTTATTTTGAGAATTTTAATTTCATCATGATTGATATGCTGCAAGATCTTACGAACACAAGCAGACAGAGAAAATGCCTCTTCTGTCATTAAATTAGGCTATGTGAGTAGATCCATTTCTGCCTTCTGCCCCGGGATACCACCAACTTCTCGGTCTGCTGCTGATTCTATTCTGTGCCTGAGAATTCCATTTATAAGTTAACAAGTGAGGGCTTGTGAGAAATTGTGACACTTCTTCCTTCCCTCTCCTTTTCTTGAATGCTATTCTTACTCCTGAACATGCTGCCTCATTGACTGCACTAATGGCAGTGGTGTAAACAGCAGTGCTCCTTAAATCTTCTAGGTACCCCTTATTCTAGGTTAAAGTAAATGAAACTTGGATAGGAAAATTCCACCCACATCAGCCAAGTCAAATCAGAACAGTAATTGCTAAAGTGGTTTTCCAGGCTTATAATTAGTAAGTAGAGATAAACCTCACATGTGATTAGTTGCATCACCTCTCAGAACATCTTTCATTTCCTTGACAGTCCCATAATATCAGAACTCCTCAAAACCTGGCCTATATTTACCTTTGGAGCTGCTTGATACTTTATACAGGACAGGAGTGTTTGCTATGTCTACATTGCTGTAACATCAATGTTTCCGGCAGCAATTTTTTAAACAAAGTAGATTTGTGAACCGCCCCAAGATATTTTGATGAAGGGTGGTATATATAATAAAATAGATAGACAGACAGACAGACAGGTAGACAGACAGACAGACAGACAGACAGACAGACAGATAGTAGGGATGGACAAATCTGTCAATTTCAGTTTCTTCATTTTTTCCAATCTTAAATTCAGTTCTCCACATCCGTCTGCATTTTTTAAAATAAAAAATATAAATCAGCATTTTAGTGCAAATTCCTCCTAATGTACACATTTTTGGTACATTTTCCTTAATACAAGGCATTTTTGGATGCTATATTTACTGATACGCACACTAACCCCTAATATATGTTATTTCATGAACATTATTTGGTTGAAGAAATGTGGGTTCCCATAGATAATTGTGTTTGCATGTTGGCTTGAGGAGTACAAGTCAGATAGTTTCTTACAAAAATTCCAACAAAGTCAAATTTCTCTGCACCTCTAGCAGATGGTAGAATAGATACAGAATCTTCATTTTTTTAAAAAAGTTTAAATTACAGCTATAAAATGCAACACTGGGCTGAGTAGCATTGCTGGCAATATTATCCACTAAGAAGCTATATAAAGCATTAAACAATTTTTTTAAAGTAGCAGATACACATAGAGTCACTACAAGCAACTCATGTCAGTGCTGATTGAATGAGAGATAACCAGAGTCTTGTTTAAGCAAGCAGTCAGGAGAAATGCTAATTAGAAGTCATTTTTCTTTCTTCCCCTGCCCCCAGATTCTTTTGACATCGGTTTGAATTGGTTGGCTGCCTTTACAGTACTTCCTATTTTGCATGCCCTAATGAGTTTCTTATACTGCTTCTCCTTAAATGCTGAAATTTAAAATGTTATTAACTTGCCCTTTAAGCTTGCAACACATTGCACATTGAGACACATTGAGAACCACTGGAGAAGAGCTGATACCCGTCGCCACA